ATCTTTATTGGAGGCTTTGCACAACAAAGTTTCTCTATGATCACTCCAAACCGGTGACAAGGTGACTGTACTGCTGCTGGTGGTCAACCCATCAGCAGCTACGATGTCATTGCTGTTATCCTCTGTGGTGTCTCTACCTCCCACAGACCAGCTGAATGATGCCCTTGGGTTGATGCCAGGTACGGTACAGTTGAATCGATGGTTCACTCGCTCTACCAGATACGCTGTGCCTCCAGTGGACGGGTAGGTTCCAGTTAAGTCAGACAAGGCGATACTTGTGGGAAGCACTTTTAATGCAGATTAATTATGGAAAGGAAAGTGTTTTTTTTTTTTTCGCTTCAAAATTATTCTGAAAGAGCTCCGTATTACACAACCAGAAAATGCAAAGATTTCTTGAGCTGTATTCAAACACCTATATGTACAGTACTGTATTTAAACTGACTGCCTTCCAGTGGGAACCTTTACTTTTAACGTGCCCTCTTTGTACTGGACAGGGGAATGTACTAGGTTTCCTGCATTACGGAAGAAATCTGTGTGATGGGTACACAAACTATACCAAATAATGTGTGCTGGCCGTACAAAATGTGAAGCTGAGACTGAGGGGTAAACCTTTTGCAAAAAGACAATTTCGGATTTCACAGACATAGGCCTACGGGATACACGCGACACCGTTAAGTGAGACGAGTTCACAAGATTTGGCTGTACCCGTCAGCAAGATGGCAGCATCAGTCATATGCACCAGTGAGAACCTCTGTTTGCATGTAGATGTGGGAAGCATGTTAAACTTAATGTCATTTTTCTTTTCGTCATTTGTCATCTAAGAAATCAAGATCTTATTTGGAAATTTGTCTTTCTGAATTTTTTGTCCACGAAAAAGAAAGTCGATATGTTTGCATCGGTGGGGTTATCGGTGAAATTGACATTTTCATGCACTCAATATAGAAATACCATACCAGTGGGTTCATTTTTTCCTGACCTTTCTGACCAGTCCAGTAGTATCACTGGTAAGCTCAGGCGTTAAGCATAAACGAAGGATCATTTCGTGTTAACNATATGCCCTATATCTCAGTTGAAATTACGAAAAAAAGGCTTGGGAGTTCATGGTTGCTAATGGTATTGACATATCAAAAGTCTCCAGCTCATCACAACTACATTGTATTTGCCAGTGGTAAAGTAAAAAAAATCTTGAATCTATGTATAACGGTGTGTTGCAAATGTCCTTGTTTACTTTTGTTTAAAAAGTATACAATTTTAGTGTTTGTTCTTGGTCTTGGGAGTCCAGGTATCGGTACATGGGTCTCTGTCTTGAAGTCTTGGTCTAAGTCTTGAAGGAGTGGGTCTCAGTCTTAACTTTTCTGGTCTCAGTCTTGTTTTCGGACATTAAGGTCTTTGATAAAACACTGATACCGCAATATGGAAGTTGAACGTATTGGATCTGTTTCATATCCTTGATGTTCGTACATTATAAATTTACACGGATTCCAACACTTCTAGTGACATGACTATCAGTAAAAATACAGTAAGGAAACTTTTAGCATTGAAGTTGGTGAAGTTATTGTGTTTGGAATCATGTAGTAATAGACTAATTTTATCAAATATTCTTTTACTCCAGCAACCACTGAGTATACCCAAGGCTGTAAATTTCATGGAGATATCAGTATACGTACCAAAATCGCATGCGTGCACATGTACACTGGTGGGTGAACTTGTATTTTTGCTGTTGGATGGAGATAATAATGTTGTTGCGAATCTCTGAAAAACTGTTTTTCATTTTATGTCACACTTATGGCCTAAGAGTTTTCTTCATCACTGCAACATCATTCTGTGTAAAGCCTTATCTCACGCATTGTCTTGCTGCATGATTGCCAGAATTGTGCATCGCATTTGACCCTTGCGGCCATACATGAGTGCGTGTTGCCGCTGTGCTTTTGCCCCTTCCTGCCACGCGAGCGGGAGATACTTCTGTCATGCACCGCAGCCAGCCTGCTTGCGCGTGACCTGCACCAACGTTGCATCATTTGGCATTACGTATGCAGTATTTGCACACACTCTGCCCAGGGACAGCGACAGGGTAATCCTCATTCGTTATTCCTCTAACAAGCACATGTATCTTCATGATACGAGAAGCCCGAATTCTCTTTAAAAGGCCAGGTTTTCCTCACTCTTGCCGTCTTGCTTCCTGGCCTGACCACTCGTTGTGTGACACTGACCACAAATCGTTGTGTGCTCCGATACATGTTATGAGCAACAGTGTTGAGCGGTATGCTGGTCTGGGACACATAGCTGTGTGGCTGGCGGAGCCTTAGCGGTTCACTCCCGCTACGGTCAACCCATCTGACCGAACGTTACCCCGTGGTCAGTTGTTGAACTTCATGTGTGTGCCTTGCCTGGTAGTAAATACTTGTAATCCGATACTCTTAAATCTTAGCAGCAATGCTGTACGCTGCCATGAATCAACGGATGCCGTCCTTGCTACTTATTGTGCGGTGCATAATTAAAAGAAGAAGTTGTGAATAAATCAGAGTCTTACTGAGACCCAAACGTCTTACTTCCTGCCATGATTTTATCTGTTGACCCTAGTATTAATTCCTATATTGGGGAACGCGACAAGGTGCTGGTAAGCCTTCGTCTTAACTACATAGGCCTATTTGTCATTTTTGTTCAGTGCCAACATTCATGAAATCTTTTTTTTTTTATACTTCGGAAATTTACCTGTTCCTACTCCCAGTAAAAAAAAGAAACATAATTTGCAGACGGAAGCCAGTCTGCTTGGAAATTGAGGGTTTGAGGAGGTTTTTCAATACAAGCACAAGTACACGTACCGTACATCACATGTTGTAAATGTACATGTAATGCACCTGTAACCAAAGAATTTTGGAAGAAAACATAATAAAGGGGCCAATAAGTTATCGTTATCCTTATATTTACATTGCTTTACAATATCAGTCTTCACAATATGTTCTGTGTCTTGAGCATAGAGTTAAACTGATGTTGGTTTACCTGCTGATACAATGGCAGATAGTTTTCTAATAAGTTGTGTGTCACTAGTGTCAAATGCTTCCACTCTCTAGAGGTACCAGCACAGGTGGACAAACCGATCNTTGGGCCAGAGGGAACAGCAGTTAAAGTCAAAGTTTCTAGAACAGAGACTATTTAAAAAGTATTGGTGATTATTTAGCTATACGTGTAAAATGAGTGAAGGGACGTCAAGCCCCGTACTTTAGCGACATGGCTACTGGATCTCCTTTTTCGGGGGGGGGGTATTTGTTCAAGTATAACTAAATATACTGAATTTTAACTCAAAGAGAAATGTTTATTAAACTATTTGTTTGAATGAGTCCTAACAGCTGTTGGCTGAGGACGAGGATGAATGAGTATTATTGAAGTACACCTCATCCAATCCGATCCACAGAACTTTGGCTGATACAACATGAACCAGCTAGTTCTGCTGTCGCTTCTGTTGGTATTGCGTTATTTCTCATCATTAATACAATATATTTATCGTTTTATCATTGTATTATTGATATATAATTTCTGACGTATAAAACCTCCTTGCAAATGATGTCAAGGTTTACAGGAGTTTTTAGGTTACATACGGTGCTTAGACAAAATATCACAAATTTGCAAAGCTTCTCTTGACATCGCTATTTGTGACACGGGAATTGAACTTGGACGAAGGAATTGAGAAAGTACCAAAGTAATATGGGATCACAGCTTACTCAGTACTGATTTGATTTTAAGTTGAAAAATATACAAACATGAACCAAACTCGTGAGAACGTAAACAAAGTGAAACGCTTACCAATACCCCTGCTGGTTGTGGATTTGAATTCATGTGTGCCGAATGAAAAAACATAAGCCTTACCAATTCTCGACAACATAATCGTAAAGGGATTGGTACCATCAAATTCTTTGCACCGCGTCTTATTTTAGAATAAATCCAAAGCAAATTATATAGCCACAATAACGATGTAACCTTGCATGTATTATGGGAAACGTTTTCTTTTTTAGTTGAAGTCAAAAAGAATAATCACCTGGGGAAAGATGAGTCGGAGCTATCGCAGAGGATATTGGTTGCAGTGTTGAATCGCCCATTCAAATTGTTCAATGTTTCTGTCAGGTTCAGTACATGTCCTTCACCAAAGCTGTCATAGTAGTCGAGTGGAAAAGAATTGTTGTCTTCCAAATCATTTGAATACATCGAGGCTGTGTGGCATGCAGTGGACTCCTTGTGGATTTTCAGGCACTTGCATAAACCTGTTCTGAATCGCTACGATTAATAATTTGTAAATGTTTTAGAATGTTCTCACTCTTTTAAAGAGGGAAACAAATTGCCCTTTTCTGTGTGCTGAAAATGCTTTCATGTAGCCTGAATGTAAATGTTGACCTTTTAAATTTGTAATAACATTGTAACAGACCAATATATAGGGGGCGCATGTTTATGTAAAATTGCATAAAAATACCTAATTCGATTTTAAATTTAGCAAGAACCAATCTTGGCGCGCAAATATAGAGCCTCTCGAGGTCCTTTCTGTTTAACTAATCGACAAATTGATATTTTTAATTTTTTTTATCTATTTATTTATTTTTTTTGTAACGGCTGTACCAGAAACGTTAATGCAGTGGTATAGTGAAATGCTAATGTTTTTTAAAGCTTGGTGGATATAGACTGCTCTTGTGACACATTACAGACCCTAAAAGTATCACACGGATTGCTTATTCATAGTAATTCTCCATAGAAATTTAAACAGAGCGAAATGGACTAGTGTGAAAATACGGATAAACCTATGTAATGCCCGGATCACTAAAAATGCAGCAAAGGTAGTGGTACCTCAGACTGGTTTGATCATAACAACCGCCGCTTATACTGTGAATGCTAATATCTAGTACGAGACAAGTGGTATGTATTCCAGATTCAAATGCATACAAACTGACCATACGATACCCCTGAACAAGATTTCTGACCTACACATTTGGAACAAGATGTTTGTCAGTGAAACGTATAAAAACGTCGTGTTGAACAGTATGCAAAGTATAAGATGACATATCCATCATTTAGTACGGTTTTACAAAGTATACATATTACATCTACAGTGTTCCCTTTAAAGCGTCTTTATGAGCGTTTACAGAATTGAAATATATGTTAAATTATGTATACAGGTTACATTTTATCAAAGTATAACGTCATTCCGTCTGCTCTGTCTTCTCTGTCAAGTTTCCAAATTTGCTCGGGATTCGGTGCCACCGACACGGCACCTGGAATGGCAAATACTTGACGAGTGCACCTTGCAAATACATGCGCTAATTACTACAGCGAATCACCCAAAATGTTTTGTGCGTACAAAGCCTGAAAGTTCCCAGCCTCTCCCTGCGATGGCGGGCTCGTGGAACCCTAGGTTTTAGAAAAAAGTGCAGTCCTTTAGAATGAGTAACTTTGTTCTATTCTCACCTCTTAATGAAATAAGCAAAAGACCACCTTGAAATATTTGATTGAGGCTGAAGTTTAGCTGACCTGAAACAGAAATTTCCTGCTGCAATAGCCTCTAGCTTCCGAAAATCTACAGTATAATTCATGAAAATAAATGCATTTTAGTGTTCTCGTATAGGCAGATGAAATACTACGAAATAATATGCTGTAGTACATATAGTCTTAAGGTAAAAGCTATACACGTAAAAATCGATCAACAAATCGGCTGGAAATCGTGCGTTGAAGTCCTGCTGCGAACGCTTGTGGCTTTTTTCACAAGCCTTCGGAGGCAAACACTGAGTATACATTGTTACAACACACTGCGGGCAGGGCAAAAACTCAAAATTAATTAACATTTTTCCCCCTGCAAGTTCATCCTTGAGAAAAAAAAACAGATCAAAAAATTAAAGACAGTGCAATTTAGCAAGAAATAAACTCAAAGGAATAAACAGCGTTTTAGAAAACAAAATCAAATTTTAATCTAACCTTTTCTGACAAGAACTGATCGATTAACGCAAGCCGTCCCTTTACATTACAAAACATGAATGGATAATAAATGGATGCAAAACCCAAAATTCTAAACGATCACCAAACGATTTTCCAAAATGAGAAATACAACATATTTTCTCAGCATCTATCTAAATCAATGAAGAAAGAAAACTGATGGTGCATTTTGCAAGTATTTGCAAGTGTCACAGTGTGATTGGGCATAGAGCCCACTATAATGGGGTTTTTACGTTGTTTATAACATGACAACAGACGGGAATTGTCTCTGTCCAACGTCTATGGCTTCAGTGTCTCAGTACATCAATAAATACTGACATCCGTTTTTTTCCGTCATAGTTTCTTCAATATAACAACAATCATTAAATTTTTTGATCTCCTTTTATGAGAAGTCCTTCGTCTTCAACAAAGTGGGTATAACGCAAACTTACAAAATAAAAAACACACATATATATGTACTCGAGTTGATTTACTTTTAGCAGGTCAAAGGCTTTGAAAACACATTTAAGTTATTTGTATATTTTTAACTGATTATTTTTAAAAACAAAAACAGTTTACATTAAAATTTACACGTTGTTTCCTGTTAATTTAAAACCATATTTCCAAAAAGCTATCTGCCAATTTTTACATAATATTCATAATTACGAAACTTTAACAACCCATTTGTGAGGCTGTCTAGGACAGGAATTGACCTTATTTGTGATTAATACTGGGACAGTTGGGTAGCAATGACCATGAGATATTCTGGGGCCAAAATACCGGAATATTTTAGTAGTTATCTAATCTAATAACAAGGTGCGGCTTACTCCTCAATTTTATGGAACCTTCTTGGCAAACTTTTCATTCTAGTTGAACTGGAAGGTCGGTTAATAAGAACCAAAACAGATTAACAAAAGGGATGATGAAGTCACTATTGCTCAAGTTACAGATTGCGGTAGTGATAACTTGATTGACAGTGAAATTGATTTCAGTCAAGCATATCGAAATTGTACCTCAGTTTTAATTGCAGTGAACTGCATTCCAAACAATTTTAATCTCAATTAAATGTTACTCAAACATAAATTTCACTTGTTGAATGTAGTACACTCAATATTATCATTCCCTGCTAATGTAGAGGATGCTTTTGCCATCATCACAATGGTTTATATCCTTTCTTTCTGCTAGATCCTCTCATCAGGAGAGTCTGGAATTGTGACTTCGTATTGAATCCCTTGATAGTCTGACAACGTTATACACTCCTGGAAAAAATACGAAAAGGAAGTTTAAAAGTCGGCAAAAGAGCAATAGCGAGTAGATTTTTAAAAATGTGAACAGATTTGACATTTTTACACGTTTACCTCTCTTGATACCTCAGAAAAAGCTTTCCACTGCATTTTTTGTTAAGATGTTTTCAACAAAGGTAAAACGAATTTTTGGATTTCGTTCATTAGGAAATAACCTTCTCACAGATCAGTTTGAAGTAGGCCTATACAATTGGTACACTGTTCACCACACACTGACTTACATGTGGTGACTCGAGTGCTTTCTCCAGCTTCTGACCGATCTCTGTGAAAGACGGTCGTGCGGTAGATTCCTCCTCCCAACAGGCCAACATCATCTGATATCTACGATAATAAAAACACCAATCAACAAATTAATTAATAGGAATAGGGCACACTTGCGGTTGGCATCCTTGCATCTACATGTAGTGTTGGGCCACCAGCCAGATCAGGGGTTTATGCCTGTTACCAGGGGTTACCTCCTGCTGTGCATTGCCTATATTTGAAAATGGAAGCGCCTACGTCTTACGGTTGGAAAAACCCCTAAGTATAGAATACAGTATAAACCATCTAGAGCGGTTGTTTTGTAAATAAATAAAAAAGAATAAAAAAGATCCACCACCGGCCTCTAATTCGCAGATCTTATTTCACACTCCTAAGCCATTCACGATTCTCTAGAAAATAATAGCTTACATTTCGTCTTGGCAGTGGTCGGGTCTTGGCATGCGGTATCCTTCCTGTAACTCAGTTATCATTGTCTTGGCACTCATAGTAGGATATGGACGAGCACCTGTAACATATTGCAACACAAACCAAATGGTTTCATTTCCAGATTTAATTTCCAGTAGAAATATATTCCGAGAATTATTATGAAAGTTTATCGTTTTGTCAAGAGCTCAAACAACCTTTCCATACACTACCTTAAATTCATGTTACACAAAATTGGTTTTACACAAACGTTGCTGCTATTGTCCCCGCATGCACACGACCAGAGAACTGAACTCAGGGACAGGTGGACACTTGTATTCTAACTTGTGTCGATTGGCCTGGACAGCCGTTTATATTAACATTTTAAGGTCACGCCAGTAACTAGTTCGAGGCATGAAATCACTGTGCAAGCAACCGCGAGTGATCACTACTGACCCACTTTGTGACAAGGATCTCCAATGTCCCGCGGTGATAAATTATTTGAAGCTGCAATTTATTTTGCCTTAAATTGAATATAATTAGGAAGGAGACATCTTTTAGATAAAACTCCAAGTAAAATCTCACCAAGTGTTACGATTTCCCACAAAAGTATACCGTAAGACCATACGTCACTCTCCGTTGTGTAGATGTCGTCAACAACTGATTCCAGAGCCATCCAACGAATAGGCAACCGTCCCTTGAATAAAAAACAGCGATATTCCAACGTTATTTTCAAATATGATATTTTATCTAAGTCTATCAAAGAGTGCAAAACAAATTGGCATTACCTCCGACTGTCTTTGGTACATTCTCTTATTCTTGATGTCACGAGCAAGTCCGAAATCAGACACCTTACACACCATGTTCTCACCAACTAGAACATTACGAGCAGCTAAGTCTCTGTGAATGCACTGTTACGAAGAAAGAAAATTCCAAATTACTATACCGCACAGTTAGCTAATGGTTGATGGGCCATTTCATAGAGGGGCCCTTTCATTGTGTAGGCTGGTCTCCGTGAACAATCAACTTTGTGCTATTCACATTTACAACTCCGATGTTGAATAAACTTGGTTTTTGACTCAAAGTCAATTTAACCATGGCGATTTTTTTCAAATGTGCATTCTTGTAATTACTAATAAATCATAGATATTTGGAGGCAATTAATGTACTTGTGACAGAGTTTAAATGGTATACACCTACAAAGTGCAACAACAAGAACAGCATATTTACCTTTCCGTCTGGATGAGAACACNTTACCTGAAGTCTCCATATTGATCTAAAAATAGCTCTAGCTGGAGAATGAAGACTTTAATACCCACCTGCTGTGAAGCAAGGAAGGCCATACCGTCAGCCACGTCCTTAGCAAACTTGATGAGGTCTCTGGATGTCAGAGATTTACTCCTTCCATGAAGGTTGCTGTACACTTGCATTCCCTTTCCTCGACTGCTTGTTAAGAGATCTTTGAGTGGGCCTTTAGTCATGTACTCCATGATGATAAAAATCGGATCTGTGCAAACCAGAATAAAAACTCTTTCCTGGTTAAAGATTCCTAAGTTACTAAACAAAATTTAAATTGTGTTACCTGTAAAATGTTAAGAATTTGATTATGTGACGTCTTAAGCGCAAATATCAATGACACTCATCATGGACTACCTTGCCGGCCATTACTCATTTACAATGTAATTGATTGACAGGTTAATAAAGAAATTGATACTTTTATATTTAAATGATTTTTCCACAGCATCCACACAATGCAAATTTCCCGCCAGTCCCATTAACAAGGTTATGGTTATAGTACATGTAATATATCTTGTATACGTAATACTATAGTAAATGTTAACCCTGGGGTCAACGGCGCGGTGATGGAAATCGACTGATATTACCAAATAGGATTTGAGATTTGTTTCGACCCCAGCATACACCACAAGTCTGTAAACTCCAATTGGCCAGACTCCAACCACTGCAGAGTTACATTTGTTGAAACATCAGTCACCCCAAGGAGCCCAGGAACTGGATCTCTTTGTCTACAGACGTACTGAATGGTTGTGGCTGCTTGGGTTGTGACCTGATATTACTTAGGCTTCCACAGCAGCATAATGAAATGTACATGTAGTTAGAGAGGACCTAGGGGTTGTATTAGCCACAACAGTCGTAATGGTTCAGGCACGACCGGAAACTGACCTGTGATGAAAATCTTCACGCAGTGACACCACATTTCGTTTTTGGGCGTGGCTGCATACATGGATTTCCCAAAATGTGTTATCTACATACATAGATTTCCCAAATTATGTTCTCGTTGAAATCCACATTGCTTTGTCACAGTGATTAACGTGGAAAACATTTTTGCCCTCCAAATCTAACATTTGTGATTTACCTCCATCATCACAAAAGCCAAGGAGCTTGACAACATTCGCGTGGCTTGAAAGTTGTTTCATGAAGTCCAACTCTCGTAGTAAATCTCCCCTCTCCATAAGATCTGCATCATCTGTTATTGAAATGTTGTACAGTATGCCGTTTCTATTAAAGGGAACTTACCATTTTCTATGAAAGACAAACATATATATTGAGCTGTGAGATATTTTAATACCATCAAGAAAAAGGCTGTCCTCACAGATCTTGCTAATTACCTCTCAGGGTTTTAACTGCTACTTGAGTTACAGTTCCTAACTGGACAATACCACTGGCTTTCGCCAGCAACACCTTTCCAAAGGCACCTTGTCCAAGTTCACGTTCAATTGTCAGCTTGTCTCGCGAGAATGCCGAGACAGTTTCAGAAATACTGGCGTAGGCCGATGTACTTGGACTACTACTGCTCTTAACGGCCAATACTTGCAAGGGTACGTCTGGAGAAAAATATGAGGTATAACAGGTATGATTATGTTGAATTGCCACTGAAAATTGTTTAAGACAACCTATACAGAAGTCTACGTTTCTTCTCTGGCCATAAAGCTGGTTATAAAAATCTCTCACCCAAGTCTTGGTATTCCACCGCCTCATTAATGACAGCACGTTTCCCCTCAGGCGTGTGTTTTCTGAAAAGTCAATAATTAGCCACAAATACGAGTAAAGAAAATAGTAACGATGAAATTGTGAAAGTTATTACGCCATGAGGGGGATACAAAGTGTAGGCATTTCACAATTCAATTCTGCATTTCAAAAATTGCGCCAGTTTCTGAAACAGAAATGAAAAAAATCCACGCATTTACCAACTCCTACCTCTTATGAAATTTGAAAATGATCACTTCAAGAAAAAATAGTGTAATTTGTATCTACATATTTATTTCCGCATAGCCTCAGGAAAAACCAATTTCAAAATAATAGACGTACCTGGACTCTTTCGGGACACGTTTTCTGTTTGCTGAAAGATAACAACGCGCAATCTTGTTTAAAACTAATGAAATATCAAAACAGGTGATATTGCCATTATTTTAGGACAGTGTTCTTGCCGTAATGAAAACAAACAAACAAACAAACANTCACCTGAAGTCTCCATATTGATCTAAAAATAGCTCTAGCTTGAGAATGAAGACTTTAATACCCACCTGCTGTGAAGCAAGGAAGGCCATACCTTCAGCCACGTCCTTAGCAAACTTGATGAGGTCTCTGGATGTCAGAGATTTACTCCTTCCATGAAGGTTGCTGTACACCTGCATTCCCTTTCCTCGACTGCTTGTTAAGAGATCTTTGAGTGGGCCTTTAGTCATGTACTCCATGATGATAAAAATCGGATCTGTGCAAACCAAAATAAAAACTCTTTCCTGGTTAAAGATTCCGAAGTTACTCAACAAAATTAAAATTGTGTTACCTGTAAAATGTTAAGAATTTGATTATGTGACGTCTTAAGCGCAAATATCAATGACACTCATCATGGACTACTTTGCCGGTCATTACTCATTTACAATGTAATTGATTGACAGGTTAATAAAGAAATTGATACTTTTATATTTAAATGATTTTCCACAGCATCCACACAATGCAAATATCCCGCCAGTCCCATTAAGAAAGTTATGGTTATAGTACATGTAATATATCTAGTATACATAGTACTATAGTAAATGTTAACCCTAGGGTCAACGGCGTGGTGATGGAAATCGACAGATATTACCAAACAGGAATTGAGATTTTTTTTGTAATTCTCACCCCCGGCATACACCACAAGTCTGTAAACTCCAATTGGCCAGACTCCAACCACTGCAGAGTTACATTTGTTGAAACATCAGTCACCCCAAGGAGCCCAGGGACTGGATCTCTTTGTCTACAGACTTACTGAATGGTTGTGGCTGCTTGGGTTGTGACCTGATATTACTTATGGTTCCACAGCAGCATAATGAAATGTAGTTAGAGAGGACCTAGGGGTTATATTAGCTACAACATTCGTAATGGTTCAGGCGCGACCGGGAAATGACCTGTGAAGAAAATCTTCACGCAGTGACACCAAATTTCGTTTTTAAGCGTGGCTGCATACATGGATTTCCCAAAATATATTATCTACATACACAGATTTCCCAAATTATGTTCTCGTTAAAATCCACATTGCTTTGTCATAGTGATTAACATGGAAAAAAATTTTGCCTTCCAAAACTAACATTTATGATTTACCTCCATCATCACAAAAGCCAAGGAGCTTGACAACATTCGCGTGGCTTGGAAGTTGTTTCATGAAGTCCAACTCTCGTAGTAAATCTCCCCTCTCCATAAGATCTGCGTCATCTGTTATTGAAATGTTGTACAGTATGTCGTTTTTATTAAAGGGAACGTACCATTTTCTATGAAAGACAAACATATATATTGAGCTGTGAGATATTTTAATACCATCAAAGGAAAAGGCTGTCCTTACAGATCTTGCTAATTACCTCTCAGGGTTTTAACTGCTACTTGAGTTACAGTTCCTAACTGGACAATACCACTAGCTTTCCCCAGCAACACCTTTCCAAAGGCACCTTGTCCAAGTTCACGTTCAATTGTCAGCTTGTCTCGCGAGAATGCCGAGACAGTTTCGGAAATACTGGCGTAGGCCGATGTACCTGGATTACTACTGCTCTTAACGGCCAATACTTGCAAGGGTACGTCTGGAGAAAAATATGAGATATAACAGGTATGATTATGTTGAATTGCCTATACAGAAGTCTACGTTTCTTCTCTGGCCATAAAGCTGGTTATAAAAATCTCTCACCCAAGTCTTGGTATTCCGCCGCCTCATTAATGACAGCACGTTTCCCCTCTGGCGTGTGTTTTCTGAAAAGTCAATAATTAGCCACAAATACGAGTAAAGAAAATAGTAACAATACATGACATTTTGAAAGTTATTACGTCATGAGGGGGATGCAAAATGTGGGCATTTCACAATTCTGCATTTCACAAATTGCGCCAGTTTCTGAAACAGAAATGAAAAAAAATCCACGCATTTAACAACTCCTACCTCTAGCCTCAGGAAAAACCAATTTCAAGATAATAGACGTACCTGTACTCTTTCGGGACACGTTTTCTGTTTTCTGAAAGATAACAACGCGCAATCTTGTTTAAAACTAATGAAATATCAAAACAGGTGATATTGCCATTATTTTAGGACAGTGTTCTTAACATAATGGAAAAAACAACAACAAACAAACAAACAAACAAACACATTAAAAAGTAAAACGCTAATGTGCACAGGGAATCAGTAAAATTACTTTCTTGACAAGAAACGTGAAACCTGTTCATAATTGGGAAGCTTAACCACATTTTTTTCAGAGCCACACCTTATGAAAGGGTTATTTTTTTGCGGTGTACCGAAACCCTAAGAAGTAAAAGGCTAATAAAATTTCATCATTTGTTGGTTATTGCCCGTAATCATTAATATAATGACAGGATTCAACACTAGCTTATACCTTACCTCCTTGTAATCCTCTACTTCTTCTGATGTCTCTGATTGTTACAACATTCAACGTGATGCTGATTAATGCAATGATGGCAAGAATCACCAGGCCAGCGATCAATCCAGCATTACTGGACTGTCCTTGTACTAGGTTTATTAGAACAGAGAGTAAAATAACTGCAAATGTTATTTTTGAGAGTCGAAGACATGTTTTACACCATGGTCCCTCTGTAAACGTAATTATTCAGTAATGTTGAATGCTATATAATTAAGCTTCCTGACAAGCACAGAATATAGAGAGTATACAGTGCCATGAATATATGTCAATGTATGGAACAAACTTAGTACACCTTGAGATGAAAGCAATCTTATTTTGCCATCATTCTCAGGAATATCTCTAACGCAGGACGTTCAATGCACCTGACCTGACAATGCAGACGTAGCCAGACTGCAGAAACCATTTCGACAATAGCTGGATCGAACCTCTTGAATGGCTAGATCTGTGTTTGTCTCGAGACAGCCCCCATAATTAAACCATGGACTCTGATCCATAAGACGAGCTTGTATCTGTAAACACGTTGATGCGTCGCCATCTTGGGGAATACCGTCAACTGATATGCTTCCTGTTTCTTGATTTGTGGTGACAACAATACCTAAAACAAAAACGAAAATGCGAAGGCCACTCATTTCAAGAACCAAAAAATACACGGCAAATTGCAGCATAATTTGTTTTCTAATCATGTCATCTCTTTGCTAAAGGTGTAATGTACTTTCTGAGTTACAATGATGCAGAATCAAAGTGGTCGAAGGCTACAGCTCCAACAAACAAGTACACTTGTCTCTGTTATTCCTTACTTAATGACTTACCTAAATTTTCAGGAGTGTCAGCTGTATATAAAGGAGACGAAGAAAACAAATATAATCTTCTTAAAGAAGTACTTATCTCAAATCGGCAATACCAAAAAGAAATCAAATCTAATGAAGCACACATATTGTTAAAATTGGTACTACGATGACATGAAACGTCTGTGACAAAATGTAATGCTCGAATACATGAAGCTTGACTTACGTCGAGTCCTAAAATTCTGTTTGACGCTTTTGCCAACACCATTTTGATTCTCAGCGAAAATCTCGATCTCATACAAAGTGTAGGGAAGAAGTCCTTCAATCACATACTCAAAGACATCATCGTCTATTCTGGTCCGGGTGTCGGGGTCGAACACTGCCGTTGTTTCCACTTCGCGGTAATTGACGAAAAACCACTGAGCTTCGCCTCCATCATTCCCAGGTCTCCAAGAAATCCTAACCGAAGATTCTGTGACTGTATTTGGGTTGACTGACACATCCTCTGGTGGCAACGGTTTTACTATGAAATGGATAATAGTTTTAAGGAACGTTAAGTCTCTGTTGGTTGAGGAATACATCTTTACAAGCTTTTTCAATGCAACAACTCAAAGTATCATCATGTTAAATTAAGTTTTCATTGTTTATTATTTCTGTGCGTTCACTAAAGGTTGACATACAAAATGAATATAAAACACACAGTCACAGTACGCCCACCCCACTGCAAAAAGGGACTATAGTACAAACGCAGCTTTTATGATAAAACTTACTTATGCGGTAACTGCTATACACCTGCCAATAATCTATCTTAACCCTTTTCATCTTACCTTTATCATTCAAAACAATGGTCAGGGTATCAACCATTCCAATCCCATTACCGCTGTTGCATGTATAAGAACCGTAGTCTCCCATTGGAGTCACTTGGATGATTTTTACAATGCTTCTAATGATGAATCCATACACATCATCTCCTTCAATAATGGTATCGACCTGAAATATCCTTCCAGGATTGGTCTGATTAGTTATCTCTACACCATCTGGGCCCTGCCATGTCATCCTGGGAAGGGGATGACCCTTGGCTACACATACAAGTGTAGCATTGAAGCCAGTGTTTGCCCCAACTGAGGTATCATTCTTATTTAAAATCTCCACTCCATCTGGAATAAAAGAAAAGAAAATCAAATCTTATTTAAGCTTCTCCTTTTAAACCTAAGCCTTTAAAATTAAAATCCAGGGCAACAGACGGTTCTTACAATGCACAATGACGTCAACGGAGCTGGAATGCACAACAGGTGGTACGCCGTTGTTGCCTCGACACCTGTATGACCCAGCCTGCTCCTTTGTGATGCTGCTTAGTGTAAGGTTACTTGTACCATCACTGTAGACAGAGGGTAATGAGTCCAGAGACCCGACCCTCTCCCACGTAATGAAGTTGATGGGTTTAGGATTAGCATCTGCACCGCAGAACAGGATTACTGTATCGCCCTCTTCTACAGGTCTGGTTGGCATGAGAGTTGGCACAGAAAAGTCTGGAGGATCTGGACAATTCAAAGATGAATTGTTATCTTATTTGACTTGTTTTTGTGATACCTGATCTTTAAGAAAGCAACTTTTATCACAGAGAACATTTTCATACGTAAACGTAGACTTATTTGTTACACCTTTGGAGTTTTTGTACTGTGTCTTTGACAAAAACAGCGTTTAAAGTCATTTACCACGTGAAAGCAGATTTCGACTTCCTGGCCTTTACTCACCAATGTTTGATAATATCTCATTGCAATCGATGTGGCAACAACCCGACTTCTTTGCAAAGTTACGTTTCAGCTTGAGTACATAGCAAACCAACAGAAGGAAATCTAAGTTTCACATTTGAAATGTAATTTTCACTCACATTCTACATTCAGTACACAGAAATCACAGACAGTACCAGTACAGGATAGAGTTGTCATCACACAACATTTGTATGTAGCTCCGTTATCTGCCTTAGTCAATGCACCTGTTGTCAACCTGAGTGTTGTCACGTAGCCACCGTAGTTACCATCTTCATTTACAGGAGCTGGACTTGTTTGGACGACGTTATTTTTGGACCAAACTAATGCTGTTGCCGGGTTGCTGCTATCTGATTGGCAGCTTAATTGCTCAATGCTTCCTGAGGCAGCACTCAAAGGACAGCTGACGCTAACCCTTTCGGAACAAACTGATGAATAGGTTAAAATATCGCATTAGCTTGACTTTTGGGAGAACCGTTATTGAAATATCTTTTTACATGATCTGTAACAGACTATGGTGGTCAAGTGGTCATAGCTTGACTTAGGGAGTATGTAGTTTGCTTTGGTTCAACAAGAATGGCTATATTTACATACTTTTTTGAGTTACCCTGTGAACGAATCAATCAAAAAGCTCTGATAACCTACGAAACCGAAGGTCTCCAGACTTACACTGAACATCAATCGGACCAAGAGATCCCATGAGCCCTGGCGTCCCTGAGGATCTCCTTGCTGCACACGTGATGATGTTGTCATTATCCTGTCTCACTGGTGTGAAATTTAGTGTGCTCATGAAGCTGTAGCGACTCCCTGATGCCGACGAGCTTGTCGTTGGTCCAGTTATAGACGAACCTCCCTTAGACCAAACCAGACTCCAATCATCAGGGTATCCCCCGTCTGCTGTACATGACAATGTAGTCAGGACATTCTCAGTCATGGATGAGCTGCCAGTGATAACAGGGATACTCGGGGGGCCTGTGTGAATAATTGCATTCATGAATATTATCACATTGGTTAGATTTTTAGGAAATGCATATTATGTATTATACCTGGTGGACATCTCAAGCAGTAAAGCCTCGTAAATCGGAAACACTCTCATTCGTGCATGAGGTGCCTGCCTAGGGATCCTGCAAGTCAATGAATTTTTTTATGATTTTCATTTTGTCATCCTCACCTTACCTTTAAAATGATCATTTTCAAGATTTATGCTACTTGAGCTTCGAAATGTCTAAAGAGATTAAACAGGTGAGACAACTATCAATTCGATACTTTTGTTAGTTAACTGGAATGCTAAATGTCATTTAAACTGACAGAGGGATTGTAGGTTTACCGTTGACATCAAGTGTCACCATAACTGATGGTAATGGTGGTTGTGACTCTGTAGTATTGGCCTCACATTTCACCTGCTGTCTGTGATTGTCTCGGCCAGGTGTAAATGTCCACATGCTGGTTGTATAAACCAAACCATCACCAGGTCCTCTTGTGGTAGGGCCGATAGTACTCTGCTGGTAGCTATTGGAACCAAGATCCCACTGAATGATGCCTGCTGGTCTGGATTGTGCCTGACAGGTGAAGACATGTGATGCATCTTGGTCTACCATGACTGTACCTCCCGGCGTGAAAACTCCATTTGCGTCAGATAGTGTCATGGATGAACTCTTCGGTGGCACTGCTCGTAAGAGAATAAATTATTGAAAGTTAATGAAACAGAAAAATATCAGGAGTTTTATTTTTCGCCAAAGGAATGGAAAACAGGGTTATTCCCTGAACAATCCAAACATACCTTTAATATCAAGTGTCAGACTGCCACTTATCCCAGCGTGACCTTCTTTATTGGAGGCTCGGCACAACAAAGCTTCTCCATGATTCATCCAAACTGGTGACAAGGTGACTGTACTGCTGCTGATGGTCAACCCATCAGCAGCTACGATGTCATTGCTGTTATCCTCTGTGGCGTTTCTACCTCCAACAGACCAGCTGAATGATGCCCTTGGGTTGATGCCAGGTACGGTACAGTTGAATCGATGGTTCACTCCCTCTACCAGATAGGCTGTGCCTCCAGTGGATGGGTAGGTCCCAGTTGAGTCAGACAAGGCGATACTTGTGGGAAGCACTGTATACGTACATGTTAATGCAGTGGTGAAATGGGAAGTATTTTATGCTTGTTTGAATTCCAGAACAAGTGTGAGGGGGAAATGTTCCACAATACAGGGGTACCTGTAGTAGCCTAATTATCTGTTAGGGACCTTGCCGGATCAGACCAGTTTCACATTTTCTGTTACTTAATACACTGAAGTTCATCAACTCTATACGGGCACCCAATTTTTTATGTTCGGTCTTCTTGGTACAAGCACATTGCACTCACATACTGTAGATGTAGCCTGATAATCACACCCTCTGTGATGTGCCCTCTGTTGAGACATATACAGTATCACAGCATATTGCGTGATCACCAATCTGCCCTTCCCAATATTCGTCTTCGTTGAATCATAATTGAAGCTTATACGAAACGAGGGATGCAAGGGGGTAAATTTACTGCAACTTATTTGGACTTACACCTGAAATATTCTCTTTATATTTATTGTGATTCTGTGACATTTTATGATTAATTCCTGTCATGGCCAGTGGATTACATATAGGCCCTACTTTGTATTCTTTAACGTGGTCTATCTCTCAGATTTCGTCACACTTATAGTCGATGTACACTACTATCACGACCTGGATTGTATTTTCTGAAGTACTGTATTGTTATTCACAGTTTTCACGAAGCCAATTTCCACCATTAAATCAGAAATGGCTTCAGTCTAGACCCTTGTTGATCCTTACTCTACGACATCTGACCTGAGTGACGTGTGTGTGAACCCCCAAAGAAGCCCCCAGCAGTAGCACTACCATACCACTGTGCAACTTCCAAAGTGATGCCGCTACAAACACAGTGTAGCAGAGGCAACCAGTCATGTCACTTATGCCTCATTCATTACTGCACCATGTGGGAATGGGAGTACCAATAGGTTCAGGTTGAGCTTGCATCATAAACACGATCACGCAATGAATTTCTTTTGAGTCTTCCCATGAAAAATGATTCCAGGACATTTTTTCCACCGTTCCAAAAAATAAAAAAAAAGAAAACACTGAGATTTGTAAAACAACTAAAATCAGATTTACTTGGTGACAGTCACGTACATGTTTACACCCAGATGCTTGTAAATACAATATTTTGGCGTTTTTGATAACAGAAGGCACTGGTACATGAACACACAATCCACACATATACATGTGCAGGTCCTTACCATTAACAACAAGTTCTGTCGAAATCGTCTCTCGTGCCATTAGAATAATACCTGTAATTATTGCTATTACATGACAATGATATCGCCCCCTATTCTCATCAGAGAAACTTACAGACAAGATTTAAAATGTACTGAGGAGATTATCATTGTCTCTGGATATGATGTACTCTGAAGTCTTATCATAACCATTGTAGAAATTTGGACTTGCAACTCCTCCATAGAAATCAGTGATGACAATACCCGACAAACCATCTGTACTCTTTCTAGACCACTCCAAATCCCTGAATGAGTAGCTGGCGTCAGATATAGTGTGTAAGTACAGGACAATGTGTACATGATCGGGTTCCCTGCGTAGCTATCGTCAGACTGCAAAGTGACTGTCACATTTTGACTATCAGCTGGTGAAATTACCGAAACAAATAACAGTTCCCTAATTCCTAGCAAAGTACATTGCCTGAAAGGTCCACTTAAATCAACCAATATACAGCCACATGAATCATAATAACGAGTTTAACTTTATGGTGTTAACGCAAACCTTCAATGGTTTACCAGAACCTTTTTCCACTACAAAAACCGACAAGTCTCATTGAACTTCGTGGTTAAGACAGCAAAAGTTTCTGATCTTCAAGCTATTCATTGTGATGTCTCTGTCATGTTGTAGCATTCAATTATCATTCACGTCCCTCACCACTACAATGGTTCCTATCACGTGACAGTTCGACACATCAAGACCAAGACATTCTGATCCTGCCACGACAAAGGTTTTTCAAACTAAAAACTTAATTAGTGTACCTTAACATGAGCAATATACGTTATTTGCAACTAGCTACCATCCTTTAGTAAATTGCTACTGGCAAGGAACGATTCTTATAGAAAAATTCGGAGGCTGTAGTTCACAAAAAATAAGGTAAAAATATTAACCCAAGGAACACACTACCTGCTGTGAAGATAAAGGAATCACTTAGATATCAATAGGTTTCTCAACACAAACGTCTTTTCTATATAAAATACAAGAAGGCAATTCAACTCTCTTCAAAGAGGTTCAGAATTAATATTTTTACTCCGAAGAACATAGTGTAAGAATCATAACATACAAGCATAAGTTTTGGAATTCTTGTTCATCTATACTATTTATAGAGTCAGTGGACACTGTATACTTTGAACCTCCTATTTGATATGTTGGAATTGACAAATTAGTTGCTGACCTAAACTCTGCTCCACCAATTCACCACTTGGTCAAACTAAATGAGTTAAAACTCACTGTTTACGCTCATAAGTGCAGGTGACATTAGCATAGTCAAACAGAAATAACCACCAACAAATAAACATACATTAGGTTGGAGCTTTTCGGAGGCTCTATGACCGTCCTCTTGATTCCACTAAAGTAGCTCACAATACTGTGCCACTATTTCCGTTTCTCGTGCAACGTGTCCGCCCTGATGTTTTGACAAAATCACGGGGGGTCTCATACGTGGTCAGATGGTTTTTAGATAACAATAATTTTGTACTCATTTACTGCTTCACCTCGAAGGAAGATGCGGCAAAGGGAATCTTGGGAATCAGTGTAAAACATTTTGAACAGACCTAAACAACCAGGGGGTGTTACAGTGGCTTTCCTTCTGTGAAAGGGTTTCTTTCCCGTTAATTAAATAAATAAGTTTGTATTAGGCATAAATTACTGATGATGAAGAAAAATCATAGAGCACACTAACACTCTTTTTGTCAAGTCAGGAGGTTGGCTAAAAGATTGACTTGACTTCATCCGATTTGGCAGACCTTCAGCAGACGACTAAGGATAATGGAACACATTTTACACGTCCAGCACCAGATCCATTGTTTCTGAAATCCCATTCCCGTAAAGAATCTTGTTTAAAACTTAACAGCTAGGAATTGTCATTCCATTTATACTTCAGTGTTTTGTTTCGCAGTTTAATCATGTCTATTTGGATGAGCTTTTATATGTAACAGCTGACTATCCCTGTCCAGGGGAGGGGGGAGGACGATTGCCCCTCTAGAAAATAGAACAGTAAGAGGGTGGCGAAGGAAAAAGACATAAAGGGATAACAATCATCTATGTGCTTAAAACGGCTCTGAATGTCATGCTCTCTTGGTTCTGTATCAGTTGGTTGCTGATAGGCGTTTTTTTCCTTCATAGTTCATAATTAAAAATGCTCTCCTGCCCTTGGCAACGCTTATGCTTCAGAATGTAACTTCACATCTCGGTGCACTAAAAATTATCTTTATCACTTGACGATTATCACTGTTATCGTACACTAGTATCGCACTCTACCCAACGCAAACCTTTCTAGGTTGTCTTGGCTACAAGAAACACATTTTTTTTAAATTCCCGTCAACATTATAATGGTTTTTTGCGCATGAATTCAGAATGACAATACTTACCGAAAATAATTAGGTCTATCGACGCTCGATCCAAAGGTAAATCACTACCTGTACCTCTTGCTGTAACCATACACCAGTATCGTCCTCTATCCTCGTTCCATTTCACAGATAAAATTTGAAGTGTACCGATAGAATTAGCATTGTCTCGGGTTATGATGTATTTTGAAGTGTCATCATAACCATTATAGGAAGTTGGACTTGTCGCTCCTCCATAGAAATCGGCGATAGCGATAGTCGAGGGATCATCTATACTGCTCCCTTTAAACCAGGCCAAATCCCAGAGTGTGTAGCTGCCATTAGATATTGTATAGGTACATGACAATGTGGTCGGGTTCCCTGCGTAGCTATCGTCAGACTGCAAGCTGACTGTCACAATTTGACCATCGACTATTGAAAATTGAAACCAAACAACTTCACAGTTTTCAGAAGACGAGCACTGCACATAGAATTGAATTCCAATGGTTGATACCGCCGACCCGTCTGTACATAGTTGATCACACAAACCGACAAGTTTCATTCATTTTTACAATATCGACTAAAAAAGCGTTTGGAAGCCTACCCAAATGAACAATGTTTGTTTGTTTGTTTGTTTGTTTTTTGGCATTAGTTAGAATGCTAAACTGTTTACTTAGTGCTTCACGTAAAACTTGATTAAAAATGTCAGACAACCGTTAACACGTACCGATTGAACACACTAAAACTTTAAAGTTATTTTGCACACTCCATCCTGCACGGGAGTATTTATATTCAGTCATCAGACAAATCAAACTAATTCCATATTCTTATGGATGGAGGGAACAGAACTATTTAAATGACCATTGCCAAATTAATATCCATTCCTTACCTTTCAGAAAACATGACAGGGCAAATGCAGCAATGTATAGTATGCTGGTTCCCGACGCCATTTCTATTTGTCCTTGGACCACAAGTGGACTACAAAATACCAGACTGACTTATTTGTGCTGCACTGTGTGTAGAGCCTATACAATACATTCACCGCTTTTGAACCCGGAAATTTTTCTCTCGAGGGTCAAATCACTAAAGCATTCAACGTGGAGACGGGGAAAAACGACAGAACTGAAACTGCTCGCGCATAATTATAGCCAAGTATTAAAACAAAGGGTAGACTGCTTTTTCTCAATGCCGTATTCGGCATGTGATGGAAGCTACTGTCAAAGAGTTTAAAAGTGATTGCATTAGTTCAGATGATCTTCACATGGAAGCTAACTAATGACCTATGATTAGCAAGGGCAACTGTAGATCATCCCAAATACCAATGACAAAGACTGAGCAGTGATGTTTACCCATCGTTCACTTCATAAAATAGACTTGTCAGGAGCACAGAGTCCTGTTTTGCTTTCTTTCGTATGATGTGGCGATTCCATGTTCTAGTTCCACTTTTTTCTAAAGGGAAAAGTCTCTAATGTGAAAAAAATGGTCGAGGATGTCATACTTTCCCTCTCAAAAAGGCTTACATGATCATGAAGTGAGTGGGCTTTCTTTGGTGGGGTAAAATTTAGATGGTGGGACAAAATTGCTGGCATACGATATGTAATGAAAACATTAAAGCAAAAAGCCTTTTTGAAACCTTAGTTTGTTTTGTCACTCATACAATTTCTTAAAACAAATATTGAATGAACAAAAGAGGAATATAAAACGCCGCCATATTTAATGTTAATGAAAGCCTCTCCCGACAAAGTATCAATTCGAAAAAAAAAATCGAAATGGTCACAAGAACAAAATCTGTAGCATGTTTCTCAGGTTCATTTTAAAATGTGACGTTTCCCTAACCTATTCACCATAAATTGATATATCATAAAAGACTGAGCTACGTCCATCCTCTCAGGCGAGAGATCTATCGGTTTAGGAAACACCTGCATATGGTAAATCGTTTTTAGTTCATCTTACAAAATATCCCTCCGTATTTAACAAATTCATGGTAAACAAGTTACACTCTATTTTTTTTGGGGGGGGGGTGTAAAGATAAGGGGGAGAACTTTATGACTTCTCTTATTTAGAAGACGTGGAATAAAAGACCAAAAGCAGCGAAAAAAATACGCCTCTCCTACATCGTCAGAACACTGTGCACACTCTTACTAGCACAGTCACAAGAGTATTATCTATCTTTCGGAAGCATTCATAACTAGTTGCCCCCTATTTGTCGGAAGCATTCATGACTAGTTGCCCCCTACAGTTAAGTGGTTCCTCAGTCCAAGCCTAAATCCGACGTATAAAGTATCTGCCACAGAGAAACGATACAGTGGCATTGAAGTACCAAGCTCATCGGACATCTATGGCAGATTCTTAACTTGAACCCCCCTTTCATAATACAGGGAGAAATTAAAAACCGCACAAAATAAGTAAAGCACGACTGATGCAACTGAAACATTCTCTAGACGATATATACAAGTCGTGAACGAAAAGGACGCGTAATGTTAAGAAGAAATTTTAAGATAATTCACATTCGATGTGTTTGCGTTAGTTGTGCTTCATAGTCCAATACAAACGAACTTCATGTGGCCGTTAAGTATGCCGAGTTCTTACATTTTATCAAATCAGTTACACAGTGCAATGTGTGTATTGAATATTAACATGTTTGATTTCCTCTTCCCCCCTCAATGACAAGCTTGCTTTGAAACCTTCAGAGATGAGGCTAACCCCAAGGCCTTGCGATGTAACCATGACAAGGGCTTTTCAAACGGAAGCACACAATGAGGATGTCATAAACATTAACTCTACATTTGGTTTGGAAAGGGTTAACATCCTTGAGCACCTTCCTACTGACAGGAAGGAAAGATTCCTGTAACAAAACTTGACGGCTGTAGTTCAAGGATAACAATGTAAAACGGACTGCAGTATACTTAGGCTTGCCTCTGCAGACATGGCCCTTATTATTGAAAACAGAGGACTTGCGTAATGTCAAAATGTTTATCATAAAAACGTCTTTCTTTCAGTTTGCGGAAGACATAAATATCACTCTCTTTTTAAGTTAGATATTTTACCAACTAGTATATCTTTTACTAAGGACAACATAGCCTGAAGATAACATGTCACGCGAAACTGTTAACATATATACTGATCTGTACTGTTTTGCCAATATTTGCACTTCCTATTGTAAAAAAAAAAAACAGTATCTTTGAAATTAATATTGGTTTGATGTTTGTCACCTTAAAGCTCGATGCTTTGATGCCACATTATGTCATGTGGCAAAGCCATTTGTAACACAGAATGTAGTAAGTTTGCTTCTCTGTATCATAAAAAATAGATCAGACGTTTATTTAAAAGTATTCCCCTTTTTGCTGTTAAATATTAATAAATATAGAAAATCAACACCAATAAAAAAACCGAGGACATGTCCATGTTTCACTTTTTAAGTATTTCAACATCATCAACAGGTAGTCAAACCAGGATTTGTTATATATGTTGTGTTTGATGTAGTTTGTTTCTGTTAAATTATTTGTCAACCGTACACCAACATGTGCACCTGAATGATGATGTATACATTCGTTTCCATTCCAAAATACTGAACTGAGTACTATCGATGACTTTGAACCACAAAGGCATTTTCTTTAAGCCCCAAGGTTGTTGGCAAGGCCTCGTTTATGACCTAAACGCATGATAAATATAGGTCAAATAGCTAAAGATGTTACCTTACCCGCCTTGTGTTTGTTTGTGGCAGGCGGTGTTTTTTTTCTTTAAGGAAGTGAAAACACCAATAGTTTGGACACGAATCAGTACCTTTGATCGGAAGATTGGCAGAAAGGAGAACAGTTTTAACAGAGCGGAGATCTTCATAATTTCAGAGCAGAAACACCCCTTTTGGTCCCAATGACTCACCTAAAAACTTGACTCTTTTTGTATACTTACTAAAAATAATCAACTCTGCTGAAGCTGCAGCTTGGTCTACAGAGCTGTCTTTGTGTCTGACTGTCACTCTACACCAATATCTCCCTGAATCCTTAGTGAAATTCAATGATAAAATCTGCAACGTGCTCACCAAACTATCATTGTTACGGGATATATTGTATTTTGAAATGTCATCGTAACCATTGAACAGACGGGGACTTGTTACTCCCGCATAGAAATCAGCGATAGCAATCGTCAGCGGGTCGTATGTGCTGCTTCCTTTAAACCAGTCTAAATCCCATAACGCGTATCTGGCGTCAGATACAGTGTAGTTACACGATAGTGTAGAGGGGCTTCCAACGAAACCTTCATTAGACAGCAGGCTGACTGCTACAATCTGGCCATCAACTGCTGGAAAAGAGAGGAGTACGTTTTACAGTATATTTGGCAACATATACTATTTATTAATGGCCAAATGAAAACTTTCACTGCAGTTTTAGCCACTTCATAAGTCATATAGTTTTAATTATGCAAATACAAGTAATGGCTTCAGCGCTACTAAAGCTCATCTAAGTTCCCACGTTTTATTATTTTTAAAGCTATCAGATCAGTAGACATTCACAAGCTCCTGCTGCAACTGCTAGTATATGACAAACCAAAAACAATGATCAAGCTACTTTGCCATCCTGGGGGATCATCATGGCAATTTTCTCCTAATAAGGAAATGAAAAATAAAATAATGAGCATTACCTGCTCTCACCTGTAAAATAGCATGACCACCAGACTACAATGACATTCATGTATCTTAGCACCATATTCCTGCACCTGCCGTTAATGTAGAGTGCGACACTGGAGTGAATAGCTATCGTTTGTTCCCAGTCTAATCTTCATCGTTGTTTAGATCTGCACTTAGCCTGGTAACACTACCAACAGTCAAGTGATACCCTACACTGAACCAGGAAATTCAATTTCGGTCGCACTAAATGCGTACAATAGAACTGGTGTAAGGAGAAATGACTGAACAGAATCTTACATTAAACACTGTCGGCACTGGTTGTTTTGGGTCAAGGAGTCAAAGTTGAAAAGTTCACCTTTGCTAAGTTCAATAGACCCTGGTTTGTGTATTGAAAATATTTAACAACTGTTCAAAGTGACTTTGAGCCTAGGGAGTCTTTGTGTCAGGGCTACCCAAGGTTATATTGGGCGATTTAATGAGAAAATTCATTTAAAAAGAGGGGAAGGGGTACGCAGCCGAAAAGTACTGGTGTCATATTAATACATGCAAACAAGTTCCGTGGTATTAAATTTATTCGTAGATCTCTGTCTTTATTGAAAGCGTTTGCATAGGAATTTAGTACAGCAGTATTTTGAAAGTTGGCAGCAATGTGTTAACAATCGTGAGAACTAACTTAACGTCGGTTAAATACAATACTGGCACGATAACTGAATAACTGGTGCAAAATCACCATCAACTTGGCATTAAATATGTATATTGACGGAATGTGGCATGATTGCTGTCGATCAAAACTCATCTAGGATTTTAACGTGACTAATCCACAAAGAAAATGGTGGAACAGCAAACTCGACAAGTACATGTTTCTCTTCGCTGCAAAGCAGATACAGAGCCAGGACATAAATACGTAGAATCTTGGCGTATAGCCTTAGAAATTAGCCTATTTTGGCAATTCTACTCACACCCAGTCAGCCTTCTAGAGAAAACAGAATTCATGTGATATCACTTTTTTCATTCATTTAGATGGGTAAACTACTTTACATGCTGCATTCCTTGGGCAGGCCCACTGTTATTATACATGCGTTTAGGATAATTGACATTGCTAGAGGCTTTTGACGAATCGCATTTGAGAAAATGAAAGCCTAAAAAAAGCCCATGAATTATTTTTGTTACACTTGATTAGGTATTAAAAATTGAAAGTACTATTTCTGTTTTGATGTGGTTTATTTCCACTGAATGTTGGACAAAACGTTTACATTTTTTATCGTTACAGAGACTTAGACTGGTCGCTCAAGCAATGACAATACCTGCATAATCTGATGAAGAATTTCCTTTTTATATTTTTTTTAATTATTTTTATTTGGGAAAAAGGTGACTAAGCAGAACTTGTTGGAACTAAAGCCACACTCTCACAAACTATTGTGTAAGTCACAATCTCTTTGTGTAAATGTAGTTAATTAATTTTGACCCACGGTACCTTACATCAATATTCCACCTAAAGGCATACCCTCTTAAAAGTTCTTCACGTTAATTATAGGTTGTTGTCTTTTGGAATCGTTACATGGGTCAGTACGTACTCACAAGGTCAGGAAACAACTAATAATAGATAAAAAAGACCTGTAACCTTTTGGTTGAGTCCATTTCTAAGGATCATCATAAAGTCAAATCGTCGTAAGCAGAAAAAGAGAAGATCATAACATGATTTCAAACTCGATATTGTCTATTTCTAATGAACTTCTCACCTGTACAACAACTTTTGCATGACCATCAGACTGCAACAATGTATTAATTAACTGCATACACCACTTTTTTACCATTACGCACGGTGGTTGGTACTGTTGATTGATACTGCATTTACACTCCTTTGGAGTATTGTGCGAAATCTAATTAGCTTATTGACCTCGCGTAACTACAAACAGAGACTGGGTGTTTTCGGTCTGAAATGGACTAGTTTATGGGCCTATGTTGACAAATTTTCACAAATTCAGAAGAGTGAAAACATCCAAGGATGGGATATGCGCGTTTTGTCAAAACTTGCCGGCATTCTATTACTCCAGATAAAGTGGGTCTAAATTAAACACAGCAAGCTCCTGGCGTCAAAAGCGAGATATAAATAAGGCGTATTCTAGCAAACGCTTCATAACAGATAGAAATAAGCAACCAGGTGTACTGAAGAGAAAGAGCATGCGATTTCTTTATTCTGTTGCAATTAGTTACAGGGTATTTTCTTGCCTTTGGAATGTCAGTGAACGACTGAGAAACATAATAAGCTGAATTCCATTCACAGACATTGAAACATGAATGCTTTGGCATGAACCAGACTACCAGGAGTGACCACATGATCTAATATAACGTTCTTGATACTGTAAGTTGTATGGCGTGACCACATGACCTGATGTAACGTTCTTGATGCTGTATGTTGTATGGCGTGACCACATGACCTGATTTAACGTTCTTGATACTGTATGTTGTATAGCGAGAAAATATATAAGGTAGGCTTCGTTACTTATGAATTCGTTCTTTATTTACAAATATCAAATAATCCTCATCAAATTGACTGTTCAGGTGGTTCACTGGGTCCATGGGTAAAGATTTCCTTTTCATGTTTATAATTAACAACGAACCCGTAACTTTCTCTAATTAATTCAAATTTTGATTTAATTGATTTTTATTCTTTTCCCCTCATATTTTGTTTTAAATATGTAGAGACCAAAAGTATTTACATGTAGAACTTCACATCCAGAAAGAGCGACCCATTTATATTACACCAAACTTACCAATAACAGTTACCAGGGTTGAGCCATCATATATACGGTTTGCATAACCAGTTCTCTGAAACAAAACCTTGCACCAGTATTTTCCTCCATCGTTTGGATACTGCAGCGAGCTAACAGTCAAGATGCTACTTCTGTTTATAGAGTCAATGGACATTGCATACTTCGGCCTCCTATTGGGTATGTTGGAGTTGCACCCTGGCCATTGACAAATGTAGCTATCGTAGTTGCTGACATAAAATCTGCATCGCCTTTCCTCCACTGGATCCGACTTAATGAGTAAAAGCTATCCAAAGCCTTATAACTGCAATTAATATAAGCAGAGCTAGCTTGGTCACCGTACACACGTGGTGGAATAGTAACACCCTGCAAATGGCCAACTGTGAAGGGTCAAAAAGAAATGACAATATGTAAGGTGAATCAACATGAACGGGCACATTGCATGTACAGCTAATATGTTGCAGCTTTTCAGGCTGCTCTATTATGTTTCAATGCCACTACAGTGTCCCACAATATTGGCGAACTATTACTATAATCCCAAAGGATGCATGATTCAAATGTTTCAGCGAAATTATTGGGAATCATACAGGGGGTCAGACATATTTTGAAGAGAAATTTAACATTTGCTACTTTTACAACATCATGTTGATGGAGAATATGGCAAAAATGGTGAGGATGAGGAGCACCTAACAACACTGAATTGTCTAAAGTTGCTAACAGGTCAGTGTAATTTCACTGTATAATAGGTCTACACACGGAGAGACTGTGACATTTGATAGTTTCCATGAAACAGTTTCTTACCTGTAAAACAACATGAACAGTAGATTGCAGAGATATATATGACTCTCAGCGCCATTTCCTGGCCTGACTGCAAAAGCCAATACTAATCGACGCTGTTAAATAGGGCTTGGAATTATATTGTGTAGGCCTCGCAATGCACCCCTTGAAACTACATGTACCTTGCAGAACAGAGTTCCTGATCCGTGAACCCGGAAATTCACTTTTGTCGCCACTGAAAAAGTCCCATGTCCTGGTCTGAAAAAAGAAATATCAAATGCGGCCTTCCTCGCGTAGTTTGTGTTCACATGTCGCATAGTTGGGAGGTTCATCATTTTTCTCCTTAAGTCTGGCGCGTTTAGCAAATGTTAAATCAAAAATCTAAAAATCTTCGTAGCAGATAGGTTACTTGCAGTGGGAGGTTTAAACATAGGTTTCAAAAACCCTTTCGCAAAATCAACCGCATAACTCTATTTGACACCAATTTGATTATTATGCTCTAGTTTCTGCAATGACACAAACCTGTTAAAGGGCACAGAATAAAAGCTGAAAATAGTATATTAGGTATATTCAGTTATCTATTCAATGTATACTGCCTTGATTATGTATTTGTAAAAATTTAAAAACAGGTTTAACATCTTTCTCACCATAAACCATCAGCTGAGTCGTTGCTGAGCCTACTGGGCTATTTCCAGTTACAAGATACATCACACTGCAACTGTATTCCCCTTCATCGGCATACCGAACATTTGCTATTGTCAAGTTACTGACTTTGTCATTCCTAGCTACAATATAATCTGGTTCGGAAAATCCATTAACGTAGTCTGGAGTCTCGACTCCACCAAAAAAGTCTGCTATCAAAGTTCCTTTGTGTCTCCATTCGAGATTTCGTAAGTCACCACCCAGTGCATCCAGCAAGAAGATACAGGTTAGGGTCGCTGACTCGCCTTGCGCGCTGGATACTGGTTGGAGTGTAAGGGTTAGAGTTTGGGCGTGATCCATGGGCACTGCAAAGAAAACAGGTAAGCATGATTTTCTGAAGAATGATAACAGTGTTGAACTTTTTAAGTTTTATGTCGGACATATTAAGCACGCGTAAGCCTCTGTGTTTGAGAAATACAATATATTGCCTTACGCTAGTTTATCCAAATACAGCTTCCTTTTTGGTTTCTCTCTTAATCAAGTTTCTTAAAAGAAATTAATGTGATAAAGTTCGTTAATGTGAAAACAGTATAAAAGAAAGATAACCTTACCTTTTAAAGAGTACAACGTCACGATCAGGCGTGCGCACCATGTCCTGTAAACCCTCGCCATCTTCACGTTTGTACTTTCAAATGAGAAAGTGCGGTGGGTCCTAGTTACAAATTACACATGCCGGTGTGTGTTGTTGACCCGGTACCGTTTTTAAATGTCATGCACGGTTAAAGCGGCTCTGCAGTCTTGGAGCATATTGGTAGCTTGAGGATTACACAAAAATCAGCAAAGTTCAACAAAAATTAAAAGGCTATCCAAAGAATTAGAAAGTAGGGATGCAGATTACCTCCATGCCACCTCTTTACCGCTTATCAAATGTAATAAACAATAATGAACGATTGCATGTTGAGATACAAACTCACCTCCTACAAGAATAATATGGGAACCAATTTGCACAACATTGGTGGGGTCTATTAATCTGAGGTAACTGCACCAGTACTTGACACTGTCCTCCAGGGTTACAGACTTCACAGTTAAAGAGAAGATACCCCCATCTGCCGATTGTACAGCATCATAGTGGTTCGGATCTATGCCCCGCCCATATGTGATCATGTTTGTACTTGACTCATGGTCCAGGATGCTGCTAGCAGCACCTGTCGGTGGTACTGTGTTGCTGATGTCACTTTTTCGCCACTGGATGATAATGGAGTCACTCACACCCGGTGAACAAGTTACCGTTGCATTTTGGCCAATTGTAACCCACTGGTTGCTTGAAATTGTAACTGATTTTACTGCAGCAAGAGAGTACATGAAACACATTATTTTGTTTTTGATATTCTCGATAATTACTTTCCATCATTTTAATCAGAAATACCTTTCAAACGAAACATTATGTGAATGCATTTAAAAACGACAGGAAACTCTAAAAGCATCAGCTCAAAATATGGCAAAAAGCGAATACGAATTAGCGCAAAACTGAACTAACGTCAGTAAGCATTTCGAAAGTCGTCACTTGAAATTCACAGTGGGAACAAAATAGCATTTTTTTTCCTCTGCAGGAAGGACTGTTGTTAATTTTTATGTGCACAATGAGTATTAGACTGCAGGTGATTTAAATGTTCATAATCCGTTTCAATTCTTCAGCTGTACTTCATGCTGCGTAAACATTTGGAAACAATTTCTACATGCGTTCTCTCAAAAAAGATGGACAACTATACTATGAAGAAACCTGTTTTTAATATAATAAAGTTGATTATTTTCAATAGAACCACAAAAGGGGAAGAACTTTTTAAAACTGGGAAAATGTCATTTCCAACCACTTTAATGATCTGAATGACATTTGGAGAGAAACCAAAATGTGGCCCGCACAACATTAAAAAACAATCTAGAGAGAACTACTTCCAAATTTTAATTATCTTTCTTTGAACCAATCCAACTAACACACACACACAAATATTTTAGCCAAACTGTAGCTAAATAAAACATCACTCTGGAAAAGGCCTTCAATTTCAGCTATTAATCAATTGTGAAACTGAGAAACATGGCATATGAAGCTGCTGTCTTACCTTTGTGAAAACAAGACAGTTCAACAATAACGACAAATAACTTTATTACGGATGCCATTTTGAAACGTGTTCTAGTTGCTTTTTGCACACAGCTGCCTCAACATGGAGAGCCTCTAACTGGCAGCTTCACACAAAACAGTAGATCCCGTTCAGTGAATCAGGAACCAGCGGACCGACTATATTCAATTGTGTGAAGTTGCCAGTTCGAGTCTCCACATGCCTATGGCGGCAGCGCTCAAAAAGCGAATAGGGCCGTTGCTTCAACATACGGGAGTGATGTGGCTTCAATGTATTCCACATGTGTTTCACTATTCAACGTGCGGAAATTAACGACATGGACCGTGCGCGGCGGTTACTTGACCGGACCCAAGTGAACCATACGGAAATGTTCTTAGCAACATGGCAGTTCCCTGTTTAACCTTTTCGTTTTGAAGACTTCGTTTGCACAAAGTAAACAAATGATCACATTGAAACTCTTTGTATGTGCTCTAGAAGGCTTAAACCGAATAAAACACAACATAATCATGAAAAGAAATGCTACATAAATATGAAATTTAGCCTCAAAGTGGTTACTAAGATGACAAATTATTTCCATTTTCAATCGATCACTTGTTCATTTTTTCAACTAAATTTTGCATTTTTAGAAGTTTTCCTAGAACAGTGAGACACTGCATACGACAGGTCGGAATCTCAACTTCACAATACAAGTAATTCTATGCAGCTAGATCTTTTGTTCGAATTTCATGAGTTATATTTGATACTTCTGCGCGGCGCAATCTATACGTGTTTTACGTGTACAAAACCTCTCCAGCCACGTACCCGTGCTCGGAACACTGCGGCCTGTTACACGCGTACCGCGGCGTACATGTACATTTACATGTACATGGAAATTTTCAATAGAGCAGGCGTACACGTTGATGTGGCTCTTGCGTGTATAGAACATGCGAAACTGGGGGGTATATACCATGAACTTCAACATTTTCCAACCAACTTTATAATCGCAGATGGACTTCGGTTTCAATAATAAACTTCATGTTAACTTTCTGTACTTTTGTGTTCGTCTTTTGTTCTGGAGTTGCTGAAATATTAAGCTTGCAAGGCCGTTAGATATGCGGAATGAACGGAATCGGTGCTGAGTTGGGTCGATATGCATAAGCGTTCTGTCGGGAAGAGGAAAAGAATCTAAAACCGTAAGCAAATCTTAACCTTCACACTTCTCTCCACCACAGCTCATTTTAAAACTTCAGGAAAACTTATTTTTTTTTTGTTTCTAGCCTTCAAAAAATCGGATCAAAACGTACAAGGACTACTGCTTACAAAAAGAGCTTATCACAAAAATCCCTAGTTTTGACCCCTCTGGTACTATTTCTCAGTTTTATTTCCACAAAACACGTTAGGAAAAGGCCTTATCTTACCATTAAATATTTTAGGCAGGAATTTTTATTT